CTGTCCCGTACATACAATGTCTAAGACAGATGTCACTAGAACAACTTTATTCCTGTTCATTTCACTTCACTCTTTCAGTTCCTAATCCTTCCTCACTCTTTCCAAATCTAATTTTTTTGTCTTTAGATACAGTTTAGGCCCCCTGTCTCCCTAATCTCTATATTAAAGGCAATTCCTCTTGTGATAGAGAATACAAATACAAAATATTAATTTTAGACAGGTTCCCAAACTATATATACACATTTATTTGACACAAAATGTATTTAACAAATACAGCTGCTGCCTGCTTATATTACTGAGTAGCCAAACAGGTGTGGACTGTGTGGATTCATGTGGTCTGCATTGGCTATACAAACTCTGCCTATACTATTACATCCAGTGTTATCTCTTAATGCGTTTTATTCAACCATGCTAACCAAATCACAGAAGAGGGTAACACTGTTTTTTGTTTTCTTTTGGTCACTGGTCTTTTGATAAAACCACAGGCAAAGTGTTCATACAATGTGGGTTGGTGTTTGATGGGCTAGGATGAGCCCTCTTGGGCATGGCACCTACACTGTACTGCCTGCTTGCACTGGCAAAGTTTGACTTGGAGTGGTGCACTTTCTGTTTGTCATTTAAAAATAGCTGTAGAACTCAAGTCTTAAAGCAGACCTTTTCCCATGTCTTTAAAATAACAACAAACACACCTTTTGAAATGTTTACTAATGACAATCTACAAACACATTCTTCTAGATAATTGAAGGCTTTGTATTCTTTGCATCCCTTCTTTCTCTGTTCTTCCCCAATCTTCTGGCATTGGCCATGTTTACTAAGGGCAGGTTACTAGCTCTCCTTTTACTTCCTAAAAACATCTGGCACGTGACTAGACATGTGACTAGGACTTGTGAGCATGCACTTAATCTCAGGGGAGGAAAATGCCTTTCCCTGAGGTGAGATTTCCCAGCAATGCTCTGCTTATGTAACCTTCCCAGGATGCAATGCTTGGGCAAACTGAAGTCATTTTGCTCTTTCAAAGCAGGAAGTGAATGCTCTGCAAGTGTAAGTATTTCATAATCACAGAATTGTTCACCTGACATGTCTATGTTATTATTAATCATCATACATAGATGGATGCATTGGTAGAAATGTGTTTTTTGAGTGTAAAAGTCGGCTTTAAGAATAGTCCAATAGCTGTGCAGTTTGTATTTCTAAACAAAATCTGTTAACAATATGTTCTTATTTCACTGATCACTTAGCTCACCGCCTCTTCTACCCGCAGAGAGTGGTGACTGTCATTCACTGCTTCCTACGGGGATTCTCATCTCCCCTCTCTGTTCATTCAGCACTCATTGGGGTCACAGACAGGCTAGGGGGTGGGCACAGCTGGCTCTGACTTTAGAGAGGCAGAACCAGCTGTCACTTAAGACAGCTGGGGTGAATCCCAACAATATTGTGGCTCTGTGCTGTCAGTGGGCATAATTATATGCAGACTTGAATATAACAGTGTGGCGCCTCAAATGTAGAATTATTCAACTTCATCGTTATGCGGGGTGACCGTTGAAATCCTCCGAAGTGTAGAAGCTGGCAGTCTAATATTCAGATCACTCACAGTCACTGACTATCTTCTGACTTTGGGTCACAGTAAATGTACTGCTCTAATGTTGGCTTTACTTATCTTTAATTTTATATACTATATAT